GTTATGTTATGTTATTCCAGAAACTAGGCTTTCCCATAATACCTACCTAGGAACCAAAGTCCTTTACGAGAAATTCCAGATCTTTTACAAGCCTTAAAAACAGCAATCTAAAGGCATCGTCTGATTTATAACGTCTCATTTGTCGTCCTTTTGTAAGACATGTATAAAAAGGATCCGTTTCCATCCGGTACCTACCAGATTATAAATGAACGAACTTGATTGATGATTTGTTTTTCTTGTTATTTTTTATAGAAACTTTTTAAATTGCTCTAAAATCGTTCTACTTACTTTTTTAGCCACTCTACTGTCATAGCGTTACTTACACGTACCTACAGGTATAGTTTCACGTAAGAGTGACATATAAATTTAACTTACTTGGCGTTCTATTGTCTCAGCCAGCCACCCAAGGGAGACAGGCGTGCAGTTTATATTATGTTTTGTAAATTTTAAGTGTGGGAGAGCTATGCTGCGGCACGAATAGGTCGGCTCCACCGGAGTGAGACCACACAGACCGGCCTCACAAAAGACTGATGTGAAACAACGCTTGCGTTGTGTTTCGTCGCGTGAATGAGGTTACCGGAGGCCCAATTACCCCTCCCCCCCTTTCTTAATCCCCGAGTCCCCAAAAAATCTCAAATGCCTAATCCCAAAAGGCCAGTAACGCACTTGGAACGCCTTTGGTGTTCCAGGTGTCCATGGGCGACGCGACGCCGATTGTTTACCATCAGGTGATCTGTCAACTCGTTTACCGATTTATCGCATAAAAAAAATCGTTATCAACATCACTAGCCGGTTCGGGCCACTAATAGATAAAGACTTCTTTATCTCTCTTCAGCACTGTACTGAAGTCGATCTTCGGAACTTCGCATCCGACTGCCATTCAAATAACAAGCTCTAATATGCAAAAGCTAGCTATGTCTTTTATGAAATTTTCAATCGATATTTGACACTTACTAGCATTATATACCAAAAACATTAAAATTAAAATTATATTTCTTTGATTAGATGGTGCGCTACGAGCAATTTCGTCGTGAGAACGCGTACCTCTACGACTGCGATCCTTTCAACTTGGTACTAGTGAGAGACGTGTACGCCGGCGTATTGCCAGAGAGCCCCGACCATGGACGGATCATTCTTATGAGGTTTGGTAAGATACAGAGAATATAGATTGAGAAAAAATATTCTAGACGCAACAAAAGAAGTTAATAAAAGCCTTATCAGTCAGTTTTGAAATTGTAAATATTACTTCTGAGGTATGTCTCCGTGGCCATTTATCTACTGAAGTAAATGTCCAACAGAAACGCTACTTACGATAGAAGACAGTTTTTGTACTAATAGAAAGGCGGCAACTATTTACAACTAAAATTTTTTTGCACCCAACACGTAGCGTATCGTAGCATTCGTAGCCTCGTAGGACGCGCGTAGCATGACGCTACGCAGCTACGCTACTGCTACGTACGCTACGATTTTTAGACACACTATTTTATTAACTGTTATTAGTTTTGTTTTAATTTGTTAGCTATCATAATGTCTTAGTTATTATCTCTTCTCCAGGTCGATGGGACGTGGACGCTGCAGCCATTGAAGAAGTGGTCCGCTATGCACTAGTAATGGATGAGATAGCCACAATGCAGCCGAAGCTACAGATACTCGGAGTCACTATAGTTGTGGACCTAGACGGACTTAATCTAAGACAAGTTGCTCAGTTGACCCCAACCGTAGCTGGACAGATCGTCGCTCTAATGGGGGTAATAAAGCGAATTGTAGTTTGTTCAATAATAAAATATCATCGTTCAATAAATATTACAAAAACTATTGTTTTAATTTTACGTACAAGCAATGCCATCTTTTGTTTTAAATAAGAATTATTTCAATTCGACGCTACACGAAAATGAGAAAAGTCTTAAGAAAAAGTACGCTAGATGTCGTTGGTCCCCTAAATATCATTTTATTTTGTTTTATTATTTTTCTCCTTTTTTATTTCAGGTATCATTTCCCCTGCCGAATCACAACCTTCATATCATTAGATACAATTGGATACTTCATTCTATATTTTATTTATTTAAACAGTTTATGCCAAGAGCTGTTTGGAACCGCATACATTTTCATGGAAACGACCTGAGTTCCCTTCACAAACACATAGACCCCATGTACCTACCTCCTGAGTTAGGCGGCAGATGTCGCCACGTTATTTCAACTGAAAAATGGATCTCAAAAATAAATGAATACAAAGACGATTTTCTGGTACAAGAGCTCAAAGAATTAGGTTTTAATGTACAAAGTAAAGAGACTAAGAAATCACAGCATTTAAATAAATATATTATAACTTAAAATACTCTGCGTTGTTTTATTTTCACTATGAACTTCAAAAGAGGAATAGAATACATTTCCAGAAAAATTAACAATTTAAAATTCTAGTTAGTAGGTACAAAATGTGGCAAAGAAAATTGATATTTTTGTGAAATACAATGAAGTTCCTTTTCGTTACCTGATAATATTTTTTAATTTTTAAGGTATACAAAATTAAATATGTAAACGTTCATTTTGTTGACTGAACTTTATATGAGATCATTTTTTATTTACATAATACATACAAGTACTTAACTCTGTTTGCATACTATTATCTTAAACGCGAAAATAGTTCAAAATAAATATTATGTGTAGGTAGAATTAATACACTAATTAAAGGATTTCAATACTGGTCTATGATATTAATAAACCAGACAAGTACATAGATATATAAATAGACAAAAAATACATAAGGTACCTAATAAAAAACCGATTTATCTATATTTAATGTTAGATAAATAGATGTCGCCACTAACTGTTTACTTCACTGTGTCTATTCCATAATACATAATGTATCATATAAACGTATTATGTATTGTTATTTACATGACAAAGCAGATTAAATATGACATTTTACAATCCTATATCGCTATACACTCGTCTATGATTAATTCTTTGTAATTCTTTCTCCACTTCAGCTAATACTGTTGAATCAATGTCATGTATATCGACGACCGCCTGCGACTTATGCTCGCCTGGTAGCATGGCTACAACTTCGTCGTCTGTAACGGTATTCGATACGACGTCAGCGACGTCTTTGTCTACATTATCGAAATATTCGAATGCTTCTTGATAGTTATAGTTATCATTGTAAATCCTTGGGCCGTTTTTCATGTGTGCTGGTATAGTTTTCGTTCCATGTATCGTTAAACTCACAGGACCGACGTCTCCGGTGTTTTTTTCGTAAGTCTGCAAATAAATCAAGAATTAAGAAAGCCGCTAATGTGGCACATTGGTTATTTTAGAATTACTACAAATATTTAACAATCTTTTGTTACGAGTACAAACTTACATTATCAGTAACTATGACCTTCCAGACACCTTTGGGATTTTCGCCCCACGTGGCTACAGACATAAGAGGCCAGTTCAGAAAACCTGCTGTTGATGTGTCCTTGTGACGTGCGCTGAGTAGCTGAACTTGAGTACCTACAAACCATTAAAAATATTATATCGGCATCTTAAAAGTGTCTAAAACTAAAGAGTATCTATATCATAGGTACAATTAAACTATGAAGTGTAAATTCTGTACATTGAAAATATTAAAAGAATAAATAGTGGGGACGTTACTAGATAGATACCGAACAAAAAATTTGATTAAAAAAATTATGTCTGTCTGTCTGTATGTTCGCGCATCACGCAAATACTACCGGCCCGATTACAATGAAACATTATATGATTATAGTTTAATATCCTGGGAACAACACTGACTACTTTTTATCAATTTATCCCGAAAAAGAAAACATATTTGTAAAAACAAACTTAGTTGTGCGGCTCAATCCCTAAACAAAATTACTGTTCCAAACGCAAATATAAGTTTGTCGAATGTTAGGTTTCCCGCAGCGGACTTTACGCTGTAGTAGGGCCGATGGTTGAAATTAGCTTGAACAAACCGATATTATAAATGTGAAAATATGTGAGTTTGTGAGTGTGTTTGTTACTCAGTCACATTAAAACGGCTGAAGGGACCAGGATGAAATTTGGAACAGAGGTAGATTATGGTTTGCCTGGAGTAACACATAGGCTACTTTATACCCCTGGGAATGCGAGCGAATCCGCTGGCAGAAGCTAGTTATAAATGAAGTATGAGGTTATGTATATTAATTAAATTCGATAAATAAAAAACTAAAAGCCATTAGCAAGCTTTCTCGATAAATCGCAATAGTATCGCTTAGGTTTTAGGTAACAGTAAAATAGAAACTAAAATACTAGGCAACCATGAGCACTAAACGTCTTACCTTGGGGTGAAACTAAATAAATCTCCAATGCTCCCCGTCGCGAATACTTCACATTTATTGATACTTCGACATGTTCAACGAAATTGACTAAACAATCGTCATCTACTGTTATCAATACTTCGATGTGATGCCTGGACCACAAACGAGTATTTCCTTCCTCAGACCTGTAATTTTTTTTTAATTTAGATCCTATTTTTCTAACGTAAAACGTATAATAATCTGGATTATTGGAGGAATAATTATGAATTTTTGACAAATTTTCCACACAAAAACTGTCAGGCGGCATTTTATTCTACGAATTAAAAAAAATGTGTTGGTTGAAAAGTCGACCCTTTATAGTACAAAATATAATGGTAATATGATGCTCTTTACCGTGTACTTTCAGTTGAGTAGAAACACATACTTACGGTGCAGAATTCACCCGGCATACATAATCTCTTGGCACGGTCGTCCAGTTTAGAGCCGTTTTCACCAGTGCACCGGCATTTAAAAGTCCAAAACCAAATCGAACGTCGAAATATAGTCCTGCACTAAAAATACAAAATTAAGAAATAAACACTGTTTCTCACACTAGCTAAAAATTATTGTCGTTAATCAGTTAATAATATTATATTATTTACCCATTTATTTGCCAGCCTGGATTCGCTGAAAGCGGAGCGTACTCTGATGTCCAAACTATTAAGTGTTGTACATCCCGCCATGTTAAATTTTGACTGAAATAAGACGTTAAAAATGTTAACAGCCTCAAAGAATTCAATTACATAAATACTTACATTACATACATCCATTTCCGTGATTATTTTATTCATACCATCGTCATTATTTCTACCTATGTCTTTCGTCAACGATAATTAAAAAAAAAATCAATATTGGGTTATCAATCACGTAAACGATAAAGGTGACATTCATACACAACATAACTAATATAATGTTTCATTTCCAAGCCGCTAAAAAACTATTTCTTATACATAAATATATCTTTTATTTGTATATCGGGTGAATATTAAGCGCACAAAATGTTTCATATTTCCAATATTCATTGAAATGTCTCATTTGTAATGAAATGCCTAATAATGGTGCCTACCTATGAAGTCACTATTTATGCCAAAGTTATGGCCCGATGTATCATCATTATAATTATAATTTCTGATCTAACACCGTTCTAAGATGAAATGCAAAATGTTTCATTTTTATTGTGACCATTTTACGAATGTGACAGACCGTACCCACGGAGGTACCAGAGCCACATAACAAAACAGGACATATACGGGCGCGTAAGAAAGACGGGTCAACTAACTTTGCGCTTAGAGCGAGAGCGATGATGCCAGCGGCCAATGGGGCGGCGGCAGACGTTCCAGTATGTCCCAGCGTACAGGAATCACCGGTGTCTGTCGTAGCCTAAAAGAGATAGCAATATATTGTTATCTTTTTTACTCCTGACAATTGCAATACACGACTTCATGAATGAACCCAGTATGTCATTTGAATGAATCAAGTCAGTGTATGGCAGCACACACTTACTATTTTCTGATCTTTATAGGCACCAGAGGAGTACGCGGCAGCAAGCGTAGATGAACAAATCTCTCCGTACCAAGGAAACAGACCATGTTGAGAAGCACTTCCTATTGATATTGTGTAAATACTAGACGAGTATCTGAAAATTTATTTTAATTTTATTTTATTTAAATTACGTATAACGGAACGGTATATTTAAATTACGTATAATTTAGGTAACGATTGATTAACACTTCGACGAGTATCTGAAAATTTAATTTTATTTAAATTACGTATAACGGAACGGTATATTTAAATTACGTATAATTTAGGTAACGATTTATTAACACTTCGACTAAACTTATTACTTACTGACGAATTAAATTAATTAATATTAAATAGTACGCTACCCATCGCAGTTACAGTTGTCTCCATGACCACCGCCATTTCCATTTGCCCACACATAGATGGCACCTTTGCCACCACGACCCTGAGACAAACATGATGTATGATTTATTTTCTCAGTAAGTTGTAAGTACCTTTTATTTTCATATATTATATTCATCAATTTAAAGTGGTTAATAAGACTATCTTATATCCAAATACAAATTGAGTTATTATTGGCTACCTACCTCAGAGACACCACGCTTAAACGCCTCGTTAGCTAGGCGCCCTGGTCCCTCGACGGTTCGACCATCGTCATTAGGACCCCAAGAAGCACTATATATGTCCACTTTGTCCAAAGCGTATCCTGAAACCCATTGTTACTATTTCTGTATATTTACGTAATTAAACATTTTGTACTCACATAACTACTTGCAAGAAGGTACTTGTTTTTTTCTACTATGATGTACACAAAAATGAAAAAAACATTTATTGTGAATAATTATTATTTTTGACTTACGATATCTACATGCGTTGCGTTGCCTACACTAAAAAGGTCTTTTCTTTGGAGCGTAAATTTTTTAGTTTGTAATCTCTTTCCATTCATAGCGCCTTGGTAATCGTGGTCACCACCAACATGTGGCCGCCTAACATGCGATATTGAAACACGGATAGCCACTAACTGTTGGTTAGCAGTTAGTTAACTAACAACCACGCCACGTCACTGTTGTCAGTATCCCATCTGTCGATAGATTTGGCTACTGGCTTACTAGGGAAGTAGGGATACAAAGTATTTTGTATGCATTATTTCTGTGATTTTGACTCATTTTGATAAGATAGTTAGGCAAAACTTAATAACTAATTGAATCCAAAATGTCTAGATCAAACGATCTAGGTTGTCGACAGAAATACTAAAATAATTATTTCTTAAAACGTTCACTGAAAAGACCAAAGGTGAAAAGAAAGTAAGATTGGAAGGAATCATTTCAGTAACACACTTTGTGTCAGAAGTCTGTTTTATTCTTCATCAACGATAAGGTACGGGACGGTTACGTTACGTCACAATACACCAATCTAACTAAGGCATCATAAAGACCAAAGAGATACACGTAGCATTTGTTAAATGACAATGTAGTACCTATATAGTTAACGATGTCGGTGAGTAATGTAAGGCGTATAATAAAATAGTATTGAAAAAACCTTCCCTGTCCTCGCCCTCACGAGGTTTAAGGTTAAGTACAATTAAATCACAGGTTTAACTTTACTTACATGCTCGTAATTATTATGTATTTTATGTACCAATTAGTACAAAAATGGTTAACTCATCGTTTCGTAGGTATAAAATAAAATTAAATACTAGACATACTGGTACTTACCGAGTTAGTTATGTATTCCAATCCAGAATTTCCCACCTTATGTAATTATTCTGTGTCTCTAGTAATGCAAGTACACGATGCATTCATTTATATGAAAACTATATGAATTATTTTTCTTCAATTATTCAATTTTTTACCTTCTTCGTGAAAAAAAAGCTTACGTACGACGTTTTACCTCAACATGGCGACCGAATGTACCAGGTGTTCATAAATTGAAGCCGATGTACAGTTAACTCACCTATCGCTTCTCCCTCTATCCGGTCTGTAATTCGTCCATCGAGCATTCTAACTCCACCCACTTTCGCCCCCCACGCCACGCCCACACCACATTTCAAGTTGTTCGCAGTCATGGCAATCTGACAAGAGTGGCAAAAATATTGCAATTTCTTATAACCACATTCATGGTAAGTTAAATTTAAATGAAAACGAAAAATGAAAGTCTTACTTCTCCTGCACAACGAGTGCCATGCGAATTTAATTTGATGTCTTCATACCTCGGTGAAGGATCTGGATCATCGTCGTTGCTATCCCAACTTATTTCTGGATCCTAGAGATACGGATACATTTACATTAGAAGCCCTGCTTTATATCACAGTTATATAAAAAAAAACTATAAAATGTTTTTTGTAACACAATTATTGTAATACTTATTGACATAATTCATATTTTACTTTTTACCATAGGATTGCATCAGGTCAGTGCCTCATCAAAACTGTTTTTGATTGAGTACGATACTCACGGCACTAGCAATGGAGGCTACGACGATTCTCCAAAAAATGCTGTTATTAAATTTTTTGTGTAGGTGCTACTTTGTTTAATTTTAATTATTTATTGCTAGTAAAAACTGGAAAATTCACCTCTACGTACAGGTAAATAAACACTTCGTATCGATTAAAGAAAGCAACGTTGAAGTTGGATGGGCCACGGGTGGGCCATATTACGCGCCTGTCGCGTCATATCGGCCGCGAACTTACTAGGGCGCAATGAGCTGAGAGAGGTGTCATTCGCTACGTAAAAATTGATGTCAAAATCGTCGACTTCTTACAACTGATAATATGATGATAATAATAATAATATTATTCACAATTTATTTTCTAGTTTTACTCATTTGGTATATTTCGTGTATACATAATAAATTAAATATTATTTTCGAATGGAAATGGTAACAACTTACTACTTACTAGGTATGAGTAATAACAAAGTTAAAAAATAGGTATGTAACGGCAATTTTGCTTTTCTGATTTTGAATAATTATATAATTTATAACATTATTTATAAGAATTTAAATGAAATGATAAAATAAAATAAAATAAATTAAATATGTATACGATAAAATCTATTTTATTTCACCTTATTTCTAGGTACACGCAATTGATTCAAACGATACTTGCTAATAAGTTTTATTCCGAGATGTTTAGCACGAAAATTTCAAAGTAAACTTAACTAAATACCAAGACTACAGAGCGAACGCAGAGTATTGACATAATAGCAACATCACATTATAGACGTTCTTACTAAGTATGGAATGGGTTATGGTTGTAATTAACATTACTACTATATTCTTTCTACTAAGTATGATAAAATAATATTAGTTGATGGTGTTCACTTTCACTGATAGTGGCCACTGAATACCTCAAACTCAAACCAACACCAGCCAACTGCCAGCTGACTGGAATGATCAGATCAGATAAGATAGATGCATGCTAGCTAGTACTGGCCAAGTCAAGCTGGAATGAATTTTGATCATCTTTCTTTGAGTACACCAGATATTAAAAGGATTGCTCATTTTTCTTCAGTCCTATGTTCTACAATTCGAGCGTTGCGCATTGAATACGTTCATTCCACTGGTTCGGTCGCTAGCAAGCATCGCAGTTGTGTCTTTTTACCACGGAAAATTTCGATATGTCTTCTACTTAGTATCAGGGTGTCAGAATAACTGAAGAGTGTTTGTTTTGTGTTGTTCTGCTTGAAAATGTTGAATGCACTGAAGACTGAGAGAGTGACTTGAAAACTGTTTTTTTTAAATAAATATTTCATGTGTGGTGTTTATTTAATTCAATGTTTATTATTTAGGTAATTTAGTTAAGTACCTAAAACTAGGTAGTACAAGTAGAACAAAATTGTTCGTTTATTACGTTACTAACGTTTGCTTTGACTTTCATTAGAAGGTAAGACAATTCGTTTCGACTACGTAATAGTAACATTGTATGATGAAGAATATTACCAATTACATGCTGTGTCTAACTAAACTAAACAAAGAAATTTCTTAACGTGAGAATAAATGAACAATTTTAGATACAAGTAACGCCATCTGTTAATCAGGTACGTGAGTAAAACATCAGTGAACTTATGTTCCATTTTAGTGCAGAAAATTTTCACCGTTCGCCTCAATTGTACTAGGAGAGCATAACACTTACGTAGTTAGCTCGTAAGTCTGTGTGATTGTGTTCCATGCCGTCATCGAGTACGGAGACGCGCACACCTTTGCCGTTGTACCCCATTTCATAGACGGGCAGCACGTTTAGATCGAGCCGCGGTAAATTGTGTATTGTGCGCGTGTCTTGCTGAAAACAATAAACATTATAATTAGAACTTGGCGCTAGTTTTATTTTAAGTGAATCTTATTTTAGGGAATTACATACTTAGACTTATTCGTTTTACAGGTTATTTCCTATATTACTTAGTTAATCGAAACCACTGGAACTTAATTTGTCGTGGCTATGCTGCCAGTCTTCCGGGCACGTTCCCCGATGAGTGATGCGTACGAATTCTTTGACGCCTAACTGAAGGAATTTGATATTTTTCTTTTATACTTTTTTATTCGCTGTTTAAATTTTAGTTGTATTGTACCTATATTTATTCATAGTTAATTTGTTAATTCTATTTAATAGATCCTACTCATTTGTCGCCAAAGTAATAAGTTTTCGTTTTTTGTTAGGAAAAAGACGATTACATTAATATCTTGATCTGCATCTTACAATAGCTATCTTTCTTTTTACTACTGATTACAAACATTTAGTAAAAATGAAGATTCTGTGCAATGTTCCCCAATTGGGAAAAAATATATTTAATTAAGTATAGGAATGTAAGTGTACTTATAATATTACTCACCAAATACCATTCGTGGCTCCACAATTCATCATTAAACCAGGTTTTACCTCGATGATCATTATTTATTGTTTCCAAATTGTCGGTTTCTTCAAGTCTCTTAACCCTATGTAGTGATTCGTCTGGGTCGGGCATGAGGTAACGTTTGACCCTAGACTTCGAAAACAGTTGTTCAGCCCATCTCACCTGAAGGAAGATAGTTATTATCACAACAGTTTTAGGTATATCGAATCTTCCATAATTTATGGATCTCCCTATGGTCTGCCAAGATAGTGGGTAGACATAGAGGTAGATTTGTCCAAACATAAAAGGAGATAGCGTAAGTTAACTATGTTTTGGGAACAACAAACTAGGTAACTTTATGATTGTTCTTTCGACTACAAAAATCATAAGGTTCATAATTTTGTCTCATACAATATTGTTATACAACAGCTCTTGAATAAACAAGGATAAAACGTACAAATGGCAACTCATCATGCCCGCGAAAACCTTGTCCCACTTTATGGTACGTTAAATATAGCGGCTTTTGAAACAGCCACGTGTAAACCGAGTTCAAAGTTACCAGGCGCACAGATATTAAAGAAGGTGTCATCTTACTAACCCTCCTGTCCTTGACAAGTGCCGACGTGTGATGACTGGGGGTGCGCCGCTTCTTCTCATGTTCATATTTCAAAAATATGTACGTGTCTGGAAATCCACGGACCTGTTAAAATTGTATTCTATTTTATTATTTTAGATTGAAAACGTTACTTATTAATCTATTTTTAATTATATAGGTATGTATATTACACAAAATATGTAGTTACGTATATATGTACACTGTATTCTAATGGTAGCTACTTATTAAATTAGTACAACTTTTGGTAGGTAACTAGGTACCAAGTAATTTGAGAATTGAACTAGGGATAGATAGTATAGTTCTTTGATTCTATTTAAAGAACTAAATAGAATAAACAATATAACGTTAAAATCACTAACTCCTCTAAATTCTACATCAATAAATTTGACTTTCAATTAATTCAAACGTTTATTTTGTTTTTGTTAATGTTATTTTATAAAAGTGATTTGAGTGTTCATTGGCCAACAGTATCGTAAAACTAAAACATATGACTGAGAAATGAAGAACCGAACCGCGCCATAAGCTAGTTAACTAAAACTAGCACACAGCACACATGCAGTAAGTACCTGCTCGAATATCAATAGCAAAATGAAACGGCCACGTGTAAACAGAGTTCAAAGTTACTAGGCGCTTAGATATTTTAAGAGGTAGACCGTGTTGCAGTCTTGTGGGTAACCCTCAGAGACTGTCAACCCCTGTAGACTCCGTCTGTGACGTCATACGCTCATTGATACTCGCGGGTGCGGCGGTCGACCCTGTAGCTGTAGCCAAATGCCACTTGGCGCTTGTCTACATGTAGAGTAGAAAACCAAATTATATGGAATTGACGTAAATTTTGACACTTGTCAGTGTCATCCCCATACATTTTGATTGTATTGTAGATATACCTCAATGCGACACTATTGCAGGCTGTCAAAACCTTTTCCAGCGACTTACTATTATTTCTGTAATTTGGAATTCTAACTGGACGGCTTTCCGGGAGTTATGAAAAATGGCAATTTTGTAAATCTTGATGTGCTCGTATCAGGGTGCAAAATGGAAATCGCTCATCAAGATCTATAAAATGGCCTAGAATGTTTTCAGGGAGTTTTGTAAAAACTCCACTCAGCTCCCATATATTCGCTTTAAACTGTCAAACACCAAGCGGTCACCGGTGACCGCAACCTATTGTTCTATAATCGTGTCTACAAAACCGGTACTCGACGAGTTAATGATTGAACTATATGTTACATTTATCTAACACCACGTATGCTTACAAAGAATATAAAATAATCCTTACTAATATTATAAATGGGAAAGTGAGTTTGTTTGTTTGTTTGTTCTGATTTCACGCCGTAACCACTAAACCGATTGCTTTGAAATTTTGCAGACGTAAAGTTAGAAGTCCGGATTAAATAATAGGGTACTTTTTATCCCGGAAAAATTTGATATTCCCGAGGGAAAACAAAAGTATTGGTATAGATGGCGCTGTGTATTGATATATGTCTCATAGGCTACTTTTTATCTTTTTGTGACGCGAGCGAAGCCGCGGGCAAAAGCTAGTAAGTAATAAAAAAAAACCTATACTAACAAGAAGTGGTATTCAGTAGTATTGACAGAATGATGACTGGTTGTCTGTCATACAACAGATCATTAGCAATACGCGGGGTCAGGGGTACGCAACATTGATTTTACCATTGTTATCACTATAATTTTAATTAGAATAATTATTATTATACAAAAATAAAAGGGATTAAATATTATAACCTTATAATATAATATTAAATTTACAGTGTGGGAGAGCCATACTTCGGCACGAAAGGGCCGGCTCAACCGGAGTGATACCACGGCCTAACAGAAAACCGACGTGAAACAACGCTTGCGTTGTGTTTCGTCGTGTGAGTGAGGTTACCGGAGGCCCAATTGCGGTTCTAATTTTGGTGGACATTAACTATTTTTAGGTCAATTTTGATTTATTTGGAAATCATTTGGTGGGTGGCAAGATGAACAAATATTGGTTATAAGTAGTTTCATATTTAAATGGGATTTGAATTCTAGTGATCATTTACTATTTTTGCCTGTTGAAGGTATGATAAGTTAAACATAACCCTAAATAAAAAATAAATACTTGATTTAATATAAACATACAAAAGTTATTCAAATAAATAAACAAAACGCAGTAGGAGATTACAGATGCCGCTCCGCGTCTGCGTTCATCAATACAATGTTATCAGATAATAATAGTTAATAGTTCGTTTATAGATGTCCCCCTCGTCAAATACACCCCCTTATATAATGAGTTCCGAGTAACTCCTCTGCACTCCTCAGTTCCTGGTATTTATCGTCTGAAACAATGGGATGTAGGCGGCGCCCTAGCACAGATTTGACACCGAATTGGGCGGTTTCAACCTCCCCGGGGAAGATTTCCTTACCCTCACAAAAAGCGTCCCGGCACTCTTTACACGCAAAACAGATGCATGTGTTAGTTCGGTTAAAAATACGTCCCGGGTAAAGTATTAACTGGTTCTTTTTGACATTTTCGCTGCATCATTAAAGACATTATTAAAAATCTCTTCTTTACAAATAACTTACTTTTTAAAAGCACTTTTTGAACCACAAAATATGAATTAAACACTGTTACTGACTCTTATTTTAGCTCTTCTTTATCTTCCTGTCCCTATTTTAAGCTACTTGAACTGTTACTTGAAGGACTGCATGTCCATCTATGTTTTCTAAAATAATGAATTGTGTTAAAAAGATAATTAACAAACTTCTATCTCTTTATACTTCATTACTATTCGTTAAAAACCGCTTAAAAGTGTCAACGTCCAATAGTATAACATAGATTAGTAAAAAATGCTTATTATTAATATCTACGTGGATGTATTTGTGTAATTTATTCCACATAATATCTAAAATCAGACAGGTTCATTAAACATTGTTGCATAAATAAAATTATTGTCTTGTAAAAGTTGTAAATACGAATGAAACAAAAAATGTAGCAATGAACAACGAAACGAACGTAGGTCAGTGTCAACTCGACATAGTGACAACTTGTCACTTGGTGGTTGTGACAAGTTTGTCAGAATATGGCATATGATGCCTCAAACTCACATATGTACTAGGGTATCATAAACGCAAGGCGATAACAATTTCCAGCACACATGTGCCTTATCAACATGCGAGCAATGAGCGTACATACGCCCCGCCTACGCGTGACTTGCTTTGATAACGCGATATGTTACGATACGATAACGTAGTAGCACATTATAACTTGTAAGACTCATTTGCATATTTTACTATATTGAAGCACCTACACTACAACATTTTAGGCATAACTAGCCGCCCCGACAAACGTTGTCCTACATATCCACTTGAATGTATAAACAAAAAATCATTCAAATTAGTTCAGCCGTTTAGGATAAATAACCTAGACACGACTGCAGCGTCATCTGCCGGGCTGTTTTGTGAATCTAAACTATCTAAGGCGCCACTCAAACGCGTACAGAAAAAATCATTTAAATTGGTCAAACAGTTTAGGAGGAGTTCAAGAACATACACACGTACAGCAGAATTATATATATAAAAAAGAAGATATACAACGTGTTGTTTTGCGTATAATTATGACAATTCATGACCAGTTTGTTGTACTAAGTATGTAGGTAAATAAAAATATTTGTAGTACCGTATTAATTTTTTGTAGCAACTAAAATTTATAAATATGTTACGCCTTGGTTAAATGACTGTAGTACTATTTTAATTTAAATAAATTGAATTAAATCTATCTAATAAACAGTAGAAAGCAGGTTTCTGAGCAGAAAAACTGTTCTGTTAAATGAGATTTTTTTCCTGAAGCCTACTCTGCCATTTATATTTTCTTAAATATTCTTTGCAATAATTGATTTCGACTCAACATAACAGATAATGTCTCTAGCAATTTGCCAAAGAACCAATTGATGCTAGATGGCTATTGGTTAAGAAGACCTTCATACAAGCAACACACGTCCAACACGGTCGCACACAACATCACGTAGACACACATGACACACGCATAGAATGTGTACCGTGTACTCATACGATCTAATTCCCTCGTCTATACACACAAACAAACATACATATACGTTTTACATGGGAGGGGTTGTGTAGAAACGTCACACGTGTGCAGCACGTGTCATCTCGTGGAGTCATGTGAGTTTTTGGAGTCACATGTGTACTAGGAGAGCAGGAATGGTTAGGAGATATGGCGCACATATGCACGAAAAGCGTGTAGGGTGTTTGGTGTTGGGGTAGGTCGCGATATGAGCGAGGGTGTGCTATGTGTGTGACGCGTTAGGCAACAGTTGTTGTTTGGCTATCTTTTATTTATGGAGAAATATCGATTCTTTATATTCTACCGTGAAGGGGTAGTGCATGCACTTTAAGAGATAAAGTACAGTTTAATTGTTAAAAAAAAACAATGTTTAATTAAATTGTTCACGTTCAACGATAAATCATTACGTACATAAATTGGTAAAATACATATTAAACATTACAAGCCAAAAAAGGTTTTATTAACGATACTTAAATAATTATTTTTCCAACAGAATTAATAAAAATATACTTAGATACATGAACAGAACACGTCAAATTCTCCACATAAACTCGTGCATATGAAATAGCATTAATTTAAATAAAATAATGCTGCTAAAAGTAAACAAAATAATAAGATAAGTTAGATTCTGTATTCTTTTTTATTGTTATTCGTGAAAATTAATTCAAATTATTGAAAGACGCGCGTGCTACGCAAGGTTATTGACCCGTCTCGTAAGTTGAACGACAGAATTCGGTTTTGTAAGAAACGATGTAAACTCGACAACGGTATAGCACAGCTGTTTTATGAAACCCTGATACCTCTCACATTTTTGTTACGTTTTAAGTAAAAATGAATATTTTTTGTTATCTGTGGAGAATTTGTGAAAGGCACATCGAGCGTAAGTAGATGTTGAAACACACAAGGGTTTTTTGTTGCGCAACATTATATTTACTATGAAAATTATTTTGTTATAGACATATAAAGTAAAAGTAGTGCTTTTTCTTTCATTAAAAAGTATTTTTAATTCAACGTA